CCCCCAATAATTTTGAAAGACTGTAAAAATCTTGTACCAAATCACACAAATCACACTCATATTACGTAATTGTCAAATTAAATAATAACTATTTTATAAAACTTAAGCTAAAAAGGTAAGCAATATACCAAACAATATAATAATATATGTTTCTGTACTGTACATGTCACATACGCATTTTATACATTCGTTTTGACGGACACTATAGCTAGGGGGTCAACTTTTTGCAACAGGCACTTCTTTAAATGTCATTTTCGATTTTTTGTTGTTTTTGAAGCTTATACTATAATTTAGCGGCGAAATTTCCTGCTGCACAATAATATTTGAATGTGTATTAAATTAATATTCCAATTTTACGTTAACAAAAACAAAAGCGTGCGCAGCAAATAAATATCAGTCACTTAGCGAATAAATTTTTACATTAGTATGTGATTTGTATAGGTAATAGCATGGTTTCGAGTGCAATTTGGATATAACATGCACGAGTGAGTTTTTCAAAGACCTCAAAATAGCACGAGTCCGAAGGACGAGTGCTATTTGAGGTCTTTGAAAAACTCACGAGTGCATGTTTATCCAAATTTCACGAGAAACCGTGCTATTACTTATTAATAATTTACATAAAAATGTCGAGACAATTGTAGTTTTAACTTACGCGTTTATAGCGAACATTCCACTGGCAAAGTTTTCCTGGCTTTGTTTTATCACATTATACAACGCTAACAGCTTGAAAATTCCACTCAACTGTGTATTTTTTGTTAGTCTTGTTTAAGGTAAATGCTTTTCCATTTAAAAATAAAGATAAAAGCCATATTTTCCATGCGAAGGCAACTTTTACTTTGTGTAGCGGGGCGCCATGTTTGTTTTGTTTTGAAGCAATCTGTGACCGTTACGTCTTTAAAACTAAACTGTTTTAAACTGATTGGTTGATTTAATCATCACAATGTTTTTCCACCAATCAGATCAGTTTGTTACAGATTTTTGCACTGTGATTACAGAAAATTGCACTGAGATTACAGAAAATTGCACTGTGATTACAAAAAATTGCACTGTGATTACAGAAAATTGCACTGTGATTACAGAAAATTACACTGCTGTTTGGAATTAACTGCACTGAAATCAACCAATCACAGTCGAGTAATATCTTTATGTATATTATTAAGCTTTAAAACGAATGTAAACAAAAACGATTTGCTTTGACATTAAAATCCCGCGTTTGAGAACCGGCTACTATTTTCCAGGTGAGGGAGAATTATATATTCTAACATATTTGATCAGAATTTTAAGTTGTATTTCATGACTCTAATGTCTGCAATCTAAAAAATCAGGTAACATAACTTTGGAAAAGTCCAAATTCAGGCTGAATTGGTTCTGATAAAAATGAGTGTCTGAATGGCTGATCTCAGTTTATAGCTTCTTATAGTCTGCTAAATTCATATGTTATGGAGAATTGTCGTGTACGGCAGGTACAAAACGCAGGTTGCAGGTTGCAGGTTGGGAATTTTGCAGGTTGGGAATTTTGCAGGTTGGGAATTTTGCAGGTTGGGGATTTTACAGGTTGGAATTTTGCAGGTTGCCAGGAATTTTGCAGGTTGATATTCTAGTATAAACGCCGCCTGGTCATGTAGGCACCTTGCAACAATCAAAACATTCGTCTCCCTGTAGGTCCAAGCCAATCTGGTCATTTTGAATGTTTTTACGGGGGTGATGGCCACTAGCCTTAGACTGTTAGAGCAGAGGCTAGGAACATGGCAGCAGGGTAGGCTGATTACCTGATATATAAAGCGCCGACAAGGAGTCAGACTGCAATAAATGCACAACTAAGTTATACTAGAATACTAAAAAAGTGGTGTAATTTTAAGTTTGCATTATCAACCTGCAAAGTTCCTGGCAACCTTCAAAATTCCAACCTGCAAAATCCTCAACCTGCAAAATTCCAACCTGCATAATTCCCAACCTGCAAAATTCCAACCTGCAACCTGCGTTTTGTACCTGCCGTTGTAGTGTATGTTGATCTTTTTGAAATTTATGTTTGAATCGAGGCCTCTGTTTTTTTTAGCCTGCGTAGCAGGCGGTATTCGCGGGCACGCGAGAGAACGGGAAGCTAGAAATACCGCCTGCCCAAAAACTACACATTTTGAGTTCTACGGCAGCTGGGTGACGGAGCATTCTGATTGGTCAGAATATTGATTTTGAATTTTTCATTGACAGGAGTAAAGAATTAGAATAATTAGTGCTAACTTTAGAAGTTACTGTTGCCGTATTATAAACTATTGTTATTTTCGTAATTGATACCGATATATCGAGTGATGGCATACACTAACGAAAAAATAATGCACCAGTCAATTGAAACTACGGCCCCCCGATGTCATCTTGTACAATAAATTGTACACGTGTACGGCCACGTGTTTGTCACAAAAAAGCTTGTGTTTTTTTTCTCCAAAAAAAGTTTGTATTTTTTTTTCAAAAAAAGTTTGTGTTCTTTTCCCCAAAAAAGTTTGTGTTTTTTTTTTCAGAAAAAAGTTTGTGTTTTTTTTTTAAAAAAAAGTTTGTGTTTTTTCCCCCAAAAAGTTTGTGTTTTTTTTCCCCAAAAAAGTTTGTGTTTTTTTTCCCCAAAAAAGTTTGTGTTTTTTTTTTCAGAAAAAAGTTTGTGTTTTTTTTTTAAAAAAAAGTTTGTGTTTTTTTCCCCAAAAAAGTTTGTGTTTTTTCTCTCAAAAAAGTTTGTGTTTTTTATTGATGGACCCTCCAGGGCTCCGTACATGAGCGGCCGTGTTGTATTAATGTACGAGTCAAATCCAGTGGTCAAATCCAACCGCGATCAGGACCCCCTCCCCCCGGGCAACCCCCGGGGAATTTGACTTTTGAAAAAATAATTAGTCAAATGCCCGCCCGAACAGGCAGAAACCACAGTCAAATGGCCTGCTATAGGGGTAGTCCTGGTTCTGGAATTTTGGCTAAAATTAAGTTGAACAAGTATTTCAAGATTAAAACTGAGAACGAAAAATAGGCCAGATAGTCCTTTTTTTTGTTCAACCGGGCATATTGTATCATATATCTATGACTGATATTTGTGATTCAGAAGCAATTTTTGAACTATCGAAAACACGTAAAATAGAAAACTCGGGCTAGAATGTACACATATTTTTAGGGAAAACCGCTGAGCAAGTTGTTGTCAGGTGGTCAAATGCCCGACCAGGCCGTCAAATTCCCGCCTATACGGGGGTAATGTTAAGTCAAATGCCCTGGGGTTGCCCGGGGGGGGGGGCTGATCGCGGTTGGATTTGACTCGTACATAAATATACAAACTCGAGCCAAAGACAAGAGGTATTACGTCGTCTCGATGAGGACATTCGTGTTCTTCAACAATTTTAAATATCCAATGAATGATATTTGGTGAGAAAAATAAACTTGAAGTTTATGTAAAATGAGTTTTTAGTACTATTTAATACATGAGCAGCAGTGTTTTATCAGATATAAAATAGGAGGCGAAGCCGAATATCTTTAGGTGAGATAAAGCACACATCGGCACTGTTTTAAATTGCTTCAAAAACGATCGATCTCTAGTAAGGTCATTGGCGAAGTAATTTTCAAAAAATACGTTGTGTAAGTCGAGAAAATCAAAGTTAAAATTTATGTAAATCAAGGGAAATCTCTATCACATGTAAAGATACCATACGCTTAAATTTATATGATAGTTTCTTTGTATTTTCCTTACGAATTTAATATTACTGTAATGAGTTTTTGAAATGTAAATATCAGCCTGCGTAGTAGGCGGTATTCGCGGGCTTTCTTCCTGCCGACGAACAAACTTCAAACTTTTATTTTCAAACTTTTATTTTCAAACTTTTATTTTCAAACTTTTATTTTCAAACTTTTATTTTCAAACTTTTATTTTCAAACTTTTATTTTCAAACTTGAACAGGAATATAAAGTCTGGACAAGTGTATTAGTGTATAAATAAATAAACAGTATATATATTGTAGTATAAACTTGATATATGTACAACAAAGTATCCTAAACCAGAATGCGGTGCAGTACCAGGGGCGCCGGAAGCAATGTGAAGCGGCGGGGGCAGCCATTTCAAAAGGGCACTTGCTGAGAAATCATCGTTTTTCTGGGTGGCAATATTTGTTAAAAATTTACTGTATGGATACTTGATTACTTGTGGCTATATTATGGGTCGGCAATCTTCGACATTAATTTTGAACAATTTTATTCGTTGCACCATGCTAAGGGAGCGAAATAAAGTCAGTAAACAGATATATATTGCCTAATTTAGCATTAATTTTACTACAACTGGTTAAAAATTAACCAAAGATTGCTTAAACGTTGCTTAATAATAGTAATAAATTCCAATTCCTGTGAATAACGCACAAATTTCGAAGCGCGGTTCTGGTAAAAAGGGCAACCTGTTGCCCCCGTGCTGCCCGCACACTGTTTGGGCAACAGGGGCAGTTGCCCCCGCTGCCCCCGTGGCTCCGGCGCCCCTGTGCAGTACACGCGTCGATTGGATAACTAGTAGCTTAAATGTTTATTTTATTAGAAGTATAGATCTCAGACAGACAGAGCTCTATACGTTGTTAACTTGGTGCGACTTATCCGTTCGAGGCTGAAGGCAGAGAATCGGGCATTTAGTCTACATTCTAAGCAGGGGAGTAGGAAGCATCAAAAGATTGGGAGGGGGCACCGGCTTCCAGGGGCACTTTTGGATATTGAAAAGGGCACCTAAAATTTTTTTCTCGGAAACGTTGGCGACGGAAAGGGGGACCACCGGGGGCGGGGAAGAAAAACTTTCTCGTCATACCATAACGCAATGGCACGTTTTTGACCAAACTTTTTTAAAAAACATCGAAATTTCCAAACAAAAAGGGCACCTTTGATGTTAATTTAGTATTTACAGCGACATTAGCTTGTACAAAAAGGGCACTTTTCAGCGGAAAAAGGTACACTTTTGGTCCTTTTTTTTGGGGGGGGGGGCACGTGCCCCTGTGCCCCCTCTTCCTACGCCCCTGATTCTAAGACCACTTGATCCCGAAATTGAAGGCTTTATGTAGATGAATATTTCGAGTGGAAGATTCATACAGTATATATATATATTATATATATATATATATATATATAGTATATATATATATTATATATATATATATTATATATATATATATATATATATATATATATATATATATATATATATATATATATATATATATATATATATATATATATATATATATAATTTAGACCTAACCAGCTGCGGAAAATAGAATTATAGCAGGGAATCGAACCTACGGCCCTGCGATTCCGTTGCAACGCTCTAACCAACTGAGTTACCGCAGAGTCCAGTTGCCAAGCTCCAACCACAAGTTCTGGTTTATATAGTATATAGTACAGGTGATGCCATTATAAGATATGAA